CCCCCCCCCCCCCCCCCCCCCCCTAATGCTGCGGTGAGCACCTGTATGTACAGTCAATCCACGACGGCTGTGTGCGCAACTACTCCCGACTTGGCCAACAACTAATTCTGCTCGCAGCCGTGCGCTGCCGTTCCCCACGGAATCTACTACAAAAAAACGGAGCTGCTGCAATAGTTCGCCCGTAGGAGTGGTTTCACCTTCGAAGGTGGTGGTTGTTGTTGTTGTCTTCACAATAAAAACCGTTCCGATCTCTCTCTACCCAGTGCCTTCGTATGCCCGTACTGATCCAACACTCGACGAGGTCGATTCCCGTGGTCACAGGTTAACTTACCCTAAAGGTACACTCAAATGAACTAGTCCCGAGGGGTCCGCAAGTCAATACAAATCAACGACAGATATTCTGGAGTCCTCCTCTCCCTCCGCGCGCTATGCGAGGTAACAACTGAGACTAGGAGTCACCATCGCAGGTCGGAGAGAAAGAGGTACACCCCCTTGGTTCAATCTTGGTACTTCACAACGCAAGCAGAGACAAGGTGGTGGAAACACATGATTCGTCCAACTCGCACCGCTTGAACCGTCTGATATCTTAACGATGTCCCCGCCCTCCCGCGATCGTGCCTTGTTCTAAACTAAACGAAGGGACCAAATTTCCAACCGACGCTCTGGTTGGCCAATCGATGAATGATGACGTACGTCTGGCCACCACCCACAGAATCGGGGTACTTATCAGCGAATACCAATCGTTTTGGGGGGGCGGCGCTATTTGGGATGCTATGTTAGGGGCGTATGCTGCGCTAGGGGGCGATAGACAGAAGTAGACATGCTTAGTTTACAGCTATATACGACGTTGAGGCCTGCCTCAAACGTCTGCCGTTTTCGGCCAATCATTTGGCGACGGGAGCAAGCCGTCAACCACCAGGAAATCCCCCGCACGAAAAAAAAAAAAAGAACGGAACAAAACGTGCGCATCAACGCGCACGCGTGCGACACCCTACATACGTAGTCCACCAACGAATACAAGATAGCCATCTACCCTCGGCGATGCAAAGAAAAAAGACACCTATAACGCCCACTACTCCAGGGACAACAACATAGCTCTTCCCCCACCACCTCGGTGTGTGAGACCATCAGAGGAGTGCGTCCGGAAAAATGCACAGCGGCGGTAGATACACCCGCCCCGCAACCTATCCTACCCGAGAGAGGTATTCTAGCTCATCACCGACACAGACGGCCGAGACTAGACACGGAAATATCGAACGGGCTGTTAACAAAGGAACCCTGTTGCCTCGTGCCTGCCCCGCGCGTTTGCGACAGCAGCGCAACAGGAAAAGCGGGGCTTCAATGTAGACTGGGCGCACATTGACAACACGGAGACGCCAAGCCAGGGCGTTCGGCAAGAACAACAAGCAAATACTAATGCCGAACGCCACCAACATTGTGTGGCACAACCACAAGCTACGACATGGCGGTGTCCGAGTTCGGAGAGGATGCTTCCAGGAATCCTCGCAGATCCACCGCGATGAGGGTCATGTTGTCCTGCGGTGGGGAAAGTAGGTGGCAGAGGATAGAAGCTTGAAAAACAAACACATTTTTGTACACGGACATTGATAGGTGCACGCAAGAGACGAAGGCAACGAACGGACTTTGGTTGCCACCCCTAAACTCTAGGCGACGAACGCATCGCGTGCGAGCCGTCGTACACCCCCTACCGATGCTCAAAGGTCGATTCGCCCACAACCAAGAGGGTGCTGATAACCAATCATCCGCCAACCAAAACGTGCAATCAAAACCTCCCGTCTTGGCAATGGAAGCCTGTGGGTCGAGGAGCAATCGAGCCATGAGAGCGTGTGCGACAACTCGCTTCGTGCTGCT